ACACAACATGAGAACATTTTTATGTCTTGTATTGCCAATGATAAGACTTCCTTCTTATTTGCCACAGGATACCGAGTTTCCTGGTGTAGTGGCTCGGCCGATTGAGGATTTTGGGAGCCAGGCCGACTACCAGTACCAGCTGGTCAAGTGTAACGTGAACCTCCTCAAATTAATGCAATTAGGACTCACTTTTTATAACGAGAAGGGAGAGAAGCCCCCTGGGCCATCGACGTTCCAATTTAACTTCAAATTTAGCTTAAAGTAAGAATGAGTGTTAGAATCATAAGAGTAAAATTGAACCATGAATTATAATTAATATAAAGGCATAGAGTAATCAATGTTATGACTATTCATTTACTAGCGAAGACATGTATGCTCAAGATTCTATTGATATGCTACACGACGCTGGTCTCTTGTTTAAGAAACACGAAGAAGAAGGAATCGCTGTGATGGATTTCGCCGAATTACTGATATCCTCTGGTTTGGTCCTTTGTGAAGACGTGGTATGGATAGCATTTGCTAGGTAAGGATCATCCTGAAAGGATACATTGTATTTGTAGCTTACTTGTTAAGCCTGGTTTACACTCGACACAAAACGCAACGCAAATGAACGCAAAATTGAAATTTGATCAATTTTGCGTCAACTTCAAAGCATTTTTGCATCAAAATGTCAAATCGCCCGTGCACTTTTGACCGTTTCATCAAATGTAAACCTAGCTTAAGTACTTACTGTGGATCAGACAATTTTGTGAAATCCCTCGATTTCCCTCGATTTCCTAGATGTCCCTCGAGACACCCTGTCTAGCATAGTGTGATCTCAGTCCATTAAATATTAGTGGTCTACTTGCACTCTATAATGAGATTATAAACCCTTATGAGCTTCCTTCTGGCCTATTGGTTTACACTTACGTGACTCTGAAGACCTGTGAAATAGATTCAATTTGGGCAGAGTACAAGGAGTACATTGAAGCCATGCCTATATAGTGCATAGTGAGATCAGAGAAGTCTGAGACTATATAAGAGAGAGCAGTTCAGTCAACTTTCACACAACTAGTTCTCATTGCTTGAGCTGTTATTAAACATTATAGCTTGTGTGTATTGAAAATTAGTTGAGTTACTTGAGTAACAATGAAGGTGTTCCTTTCTCTTGCTGCTCTTATGCTCGTTTTGGGCATGGTCCACTCACAGTTGCCTGGTATAGCTATATAATAGTATTGTGACATTTGAATTTGATATATACTCCAGACAAAGAAACAGAGTTTGATGGACTCGATAATGCAGAAAGACCACCATGGGAGAATGAAGTAGAGGCAAAGGAAAACGAAGTAGGAGCAAAGGAACATGAAGAAATGCAGCTTGAAGGTGCATAATAACTTACATCTTAACTATCATGATATTATTTTTGCTCTTTATGTTTCTTTATTCAGACACAGACATGCAGGATATCAATAAAGGTAAATATAATAGCATTCATTGGGTACTATGCTATTATTCATGTAATTTCTTTTTTCATTAATTGCAGAAGTCAGTGAAGAGGGTGATAACGTTAATGCCGAAAACGTTGTTGTTCACTTGACACGTGGCAAGAAGCTCATCCTTGTCATCGATCCTGACAACTACTACAATGGAGCCAGCGGAGCCGGCACTACATACACAAGATGGGGAAAGGCTAGCTGCAGGAGAGGAGCTCAGCTGGTCTACTCAGGACAAGTTGGTGGCGGTTTCTATAATCAGCCTGGAAATGGGGCTAAGTACATGTGCATGCCACACGACCCTGCATACTTGAGCACTGTGCCACCAGTTTCAGCTTCTTACATTTATGGAAGCGAATATGAATCATCGAACAGGATCTTTGCAAGAACAACACATGATTTTGCTGTACCGTGTGCTGTTTGCCGTGCTGTAAGGAGGACCACTACAATCACAATACCGGCCAAACCAACCTGTCCTCGTGGATGGACCAGAGAATACTTTGGATACATGATGTCAAGTTATTACGGGCATGCTCAACAAGTCCATCCAGTCTGCGTTGACGTCAATCCTGACATTGTTGCCGGTTCTCAAGGAA